CCCGTTCAGCTATCTTAGTGAGGACCTTCATTGACATAATGGTTTCCCTAGCCCTTTACCCTAACCCCAACCATTAAAAATGATGCCTAACTCTAACCCTTACCCTAAACCTAACCATAACCTAATTGTAACCCTGACACTAAAACCACATTTTGAGCCTCAAAAAGGCCTTCAAACTTGTGAGGACCAGTGTGTGTGTCCTTACAAGTGACTGTTGGTTCTCACAAGTATAGTAGAATGCAGATTTCGGTCCTCACAAAGATAGCTAACATAGATGGATAACACACACATTACAAGGTGAAGGCCTGACTATCTCAATTATTTTGGGGTTAAATGTCTTGTTCAAAGACCCAGTGATGTGCATGAAGAAGGAGCTAATGGTCAAACCACTAATCTTACAATCAATGGGATTGCCACTTAACATCTCAAAGTTTTTCAGCCATATACAGGACAGTGGGTAAAAGAAATTGAAGCACAGCAACACATTTTGCACAGTTTCAGATTAGTGACAGATAGATCAAAATCACCATTTTGTCTGTTGACAAAAGTGAGTAAAACATTTGTCACCTGAAACCCTAAACAGGGTATGTCAGGATGACAAGTCACAGTGAGTTGTTGTACATAAAGTTTATTGTTCAAGGATTAGACAGATCCACTGCAAACAGTTGGGATCAAGCAAGTTTTGTTTGAGGTATTTATTTCTGTTTAAACTTAATATTAGCAATATTGGTAATATGTCTTCTGTGTCTAACCCAGGTGGAATATGAAGCATCCTTGTATAAATGATTTATGACAGTCTAGCCACAGCATCATCGTAGCACTTGTATTGTCAGGCAGCCATAGATGCTTATTTTATCTCATTTTATTTTGAGCTGCCTCTTTGACAACACTGATACCTTTAGAAGCGTTGCAACTCCTAACCTTTCTCTCTGACTTGTTTTATGCCCCAAAATAGACCTGAAGAAAGTGATAGTCATGAAGCTGTCACAAATGTTAGATTTGCATTAGTCAGGCTTTGTTGCTCTTTCTTTCTATTTCGGAATAATGACTTTCTGCATGTAACAACATATCACAGTTTCTTTCATTTATTTTTAGTCATGTCAATGTGTTTGTAATTGCAGGCTGCTGATCTTAGTAAGCCCATAGACAAGAGGATATACAAAGGAACGCAGCCTACGTGCCATGACTTCAACCCCCTCACAGCTACAGCAGAGAGTGTCTCTCTGCTGGTGGGCTTCTCAGCTGGCCAGGTGCAGCTCATAGACCCAATAAAGAAGGAAACCAGCAAACTCTTCAATGAGGAGGTGGGTAGCAGTTATCATTGTTTTGAAGACAACTTGCCTCTCTTGAGCCTTGTACTATGAAGAAGGATTTGAGGCTTAGTAATGTAACTTCGGGTTTAACCCTGGATTTTCAGTGTTCCAAATGTGGTCCACTACTTACCAGGGTACATCACCAACATAATTTGTACCGTAGACCTAATCTGCTCTACAGGTTATGTTTGACGTAAGAGATAAACAGGTATGTTCAGTTTTCTGGAATGAAGCATCACCATTCCTGGATGATCCTTGTGATCCAAGTGTGTAGATAGTTAAAGGTTGTAAAAAATAAATAAATAAAAGAAAATCTAAAGTCTTTGTTTTTCTCTGGTGAGCATTAGTAATAAATATAAATTCTTCCTTTTGTCCAAGCTATCTGTAAGTCATTTTAAAACTTTTATTGTACTTTGAATAGACTAAACCTTATTAATATTGCTTTTTCAGTCTAGCTGGCCAAAGAAGATGAAGCTCACACATAATCAAGCAGCATCATGAATGCTTCAAAACAAAGGAACTTTATTTTTGGTTTATGAAGAGTTTCCCCTCTCATTGAAGAGGTTTCGTAAAATTCTAAAACAACTCATGGAGAATCTCAATGACTTAATCCCTAGTGGGGGTTGTCCTGAGGTCTTGTGAGCCACTGTTAATTATGTGAGTTGTCACATGAGCCAAGGTGTGAAACAATGCTTTGGTCATTATTGTAATCAGGGCCAAGGTGGGAATCCTCTATGAGTCTTTGCCTCACTTTATCATAATATGAGGTATTTGGTGTTGTCCTGTCCTTTTCCTGTTGAGGTGGCTCTGTTATGTTGTGTAATGCATTTGTGGAGTGAGTGTTTGGTTCCTCCCATGTAAAAATCTGAACACTGCTTACTGAATTACACTGTGTTGTTTAGCTTATGTTAGAGTATTTTAGCCTTGGGATGTGCCAGTTTTTGTCTTGAGGGTTTTCCATGGTGAAACGTGTACTAGGATGTTAATGGTTGGAGAACATTTTTTGGAACTCATCTAAAAAAACTTGCCACATACTGGACAACAGTGTATTTCCCTTTGTTGTTCTCTATCCCTGGTGGGTGTCTGAGGTTTGTTCTGGTGCATTTATTCTCATATTAATAAGGTGTCTCCAAAAGTTGATTCTGTTCATCTGGACGTAGCGTTTTCAGTGGGAGAAACGTTTTATCACTCATTAAAGTAGCTTCTTCAGTCTCAGCTGACTGCAGGTTTCCCCAATCTTATAAACAGAACATTTGCATAATGACTGAAACGACCTCCCAGCCCATTGTTCCTTCAGTGGGCTGGTTTCAGTCATTATGCAGGCTTCTGCTTTATAGGTTTTCTATTTTGACACAGGTGTCATCTGCCCATCTGATCTCTGAAGGCGATCAGACAGTGTTACTTTCCACTTCCTCTATGCAAAAATTGGTTACACTGGGGAAGCCATGGCGCATATTTAGTCTGTAGCAACCTTCATATTTGAATTATATGGTGGCTCATTTTCACAAACCACAAAAGATACCAGTTGCCTTCTTCTCAAGCAGTCCAGACTCCCATGACCTGGACATTCTCTGACTGAGATAACTACATAGACATATTTAGATGACTCTTTTTTTTTTTTTTTATTGTACTTTTGTCTCAAACACACAAACTCTCTGGTGTAATAGCTTTAGCCCTGATGCGCATGTGTGTGCGAGTGTGCGAGTGTGTGTTCATGCACGTGTTAGTTTAATTTTTAAGCCTCTATTATGTCTTTAAAATCTATTTTTATAATACCATAGTGTATATCACTCTGCTTCCCTTAGTCTTACCCCATTTCTGATTGGTCATATTCTTTCATATGAACATCCTCATAGCTAGATCTAGAAACCTGACTTAGCATGTTGTTAATCACCTTTGTGTGACCCCTTAGCTTGACTGCTGATTTTGAGGTAAGTGGTGACAAATAGAAAAAAGGTGTCATGGATATGATGAACTTTCCTTGTACAGGCTCCCAATAATATGTTTATCAGAATCAGAATACTTTATTAATCCTTAAAGAAATTGTGTTTATGTTTGATCTAGTCCACTAGCTGACCTGTCTCCTTGTTTTTTGCTTTGTTTTTCCTTTTTTCTATTCTTCTCTTTCCAGAGACTTATCGACAAGTCGAGAGTAACGTGTGTGCGATGGGTTCCTGGTTCAGAGAGCCTGTTTCTTGTGGCTCACTCCAGTGGCAGCATGTACTTGTACAATGTGGAAAACACCTGTGGCACCACAGCACCTCACTACCAGCTCCTTAAGCAGGGTGAAAATTATGCTGTGCATACCTGCAAGAGCAAATCGGCTCGTAACCCGTTACTGCGGTGGACAGTGGGCGAAGGGGCGCTCAATGAGTTTGCTTTCTCCCCAGATGGCAAGTTTCTTGCTTGTGCGAGCCAGGATGGCTTCCTGCGGGTTTTTGGCTTTGATGCCGCAGAGCTACACGGAACTATGAAGAGCTACTTCGGTGGCTTACTGTGCGTGTGCTGGAGCCCCGATGGACGGTATATTGTGGCAGGAGGGGAGGATGACCTGGTGACGGTTTGGTCATTTTTGGACTGTAGAGTCATTGCACGAGGGCATGGCCACAAGTCATGGGTGAGCGTGGTGGCGTTTGACCACTGTACCACCAGTGTTGAGGATGGCGACTTGCCTGCGGAGTTTAGTGGCAGCGACGAGGACTTTCACGAGCAGAATCACTTCAGTGCAGGCAGAGACAGAGCAAACAGTTCTCATTCTCGGCTTTCTAAGAGAAACTCTACGGACAGTAGACCGGTTAGTGTGACCTACAGGTTTGGCTCAGTGGGACAGGACACCCAGCTGTGCCTGTGGGACCTCACAGAGGACATTCTCTTCCCTCACCTCCCTTTGTCCCGCACTCGAACACACACTAATGTTATGAGTGCCACAAGCCCTCCAGCAACAGGACAACCTCCTTCTACTCTGTCCACGACCACCAGTTCCGGTGGCACCAACAGTAAAGACAATTTGAGCAATAGTAGCACTAGCGGCAACCCAACTAACTCCCTCCCCGGCACCTTGCCTCGGTCCAATAGCTTGCCTCACTCCTCAAATCCAGCGGGGGGCAGCACCCCCAACAGTAACACAGGCAGCAGCAACAGCAGCAGCAGCACCACCGCCACAACCAAGGCCAACAGCATCATTGACAGCGCTTTCATCGCCACCAGCGTCAGCAAGTTTGCAACACTGTCGTTACACGACTCGCGGAAGGAGCGCCACGAGAAGGACCACAAGAGAAACCACAGCATGGGTCACATCAGCAGCAAGAGCAGCGACAAGCTAAACCAGCTCAGCTCGTCAAAGATGGCGAAAGCTGACGCTGCTAAGACTTTAGGCACTACTCTGTGCCCACGCATGGAGGAGGTGCCGCTCCTGGAACCGCTGGTGTGCAAAAAGATAGCTCACGAAAGACTCACTGTGTTAATCTTCCTGGAGGACTGTCTGGTAACAGCCTGTCAGGAGGGTTTCGTTTGCACCTGGGCTAGGCCTGGGAAAGTGGTGAGTGACGGGCCTCATGAGAATACTCTCTTGTGACACTTTAAAGTTATGTTTTGTTGTTGTTGTCGTTTTGTTTTTGAGTAATTCTTGCATTCAGGAGCAGTTGGGTTTGGGTTTGTTTGGGTTTGAGTTCACACCTCATATATATCTATCACTATCTATCACTATATATATATATATATATATATATATAATAAACCTGCATCATTTTTGATTATAAATAGGACAGTTTGTTTAAAAAAAAAAAAAAAGAGAGCAAACCTCACGGCCTCACTGTTCTACCTCTCGTGTTACATTTGAGTAAAAACCTTTATTATCAATGTGTGTTATCTGTCTCTCCACAGGGATTGCTATCATCTCAAAACAACCCAGCCAATTCCCCCAGTGGAACAGTAGTATAGTCGATGCTGGTGCTGCTAATAACAGCTCCACGCAACAGAGACGTGGGGACGACCACGACCGAGGCCCTGCAGCGCTTCTTCACACACAGTCACACATCACGTGACCTCGAGTGTTTCCTTTCATTCTCATCACTACAAGCACCCAGATGCTCTCTTTGTGTTACTGTTCATGTTAAGAATTTTGGCCAAGGCCAGAGTTAGAAACTTGACCCCCTTTGTTGTGTGTGTGTGTGTGTGTGTGTGTGTGTGTGTGTGTGTGTGTGTGTGTGTGTGTGTGTGTGTGTGTGTGGGGGAGGTGGAGTGGGTTTAAAGGGTGC